AATAATATATAAATTTTAAAAGGCAAATGGGAAAAACCCATAAAACAGCAAACGGTAATCTACTGGAACCGAGCCACATAGCTTGTATTCCACTATTTGCATTCACACCTGGGCTGTGTATATATATTGCCTTGGTTTGGCTCTGTAATCATTAATGGTCGTGGGACTAGTTTGGGCCCTACCTAAGCTGGTCGAACGTTGCGTTTGGGTCTATACCCTAGCTGCACTGATGAGGCATGGAAGGCCGAAACAGATCCGTCTGCAGATATTGGGATTCCTTCCAGTGGCTGCTTAGTTTATTTTGTCATTCTGATAGGATTTTCTCTACTGTTTCGTTTTAATTTTAAATAGTTTTGCATTATGTGGCCATTTGCTGTTTTATGGGTTTTTCCCATTTGCCTTTTAAAAAAAAAATATATATAGATGTGTATAAGAGACAGATATATATATATAAATATATATATACACACATACATATATATGCACACATACACATACATATATATATGCATACACATACATGCACATACGTACACACACATACACACCCACATATTTTATATTATACCATTTTTCTTTTTTGAACAATATATCATTTCACATTAAATACAATATTTCTTTCATTTGTTTACAAAAGATTGAGTTCAATGTAATTAAAAGCATATTAAAAAAAAAAAAAATCAGTGCTACTTACTTGATTACTTTCTGACATAAGAAATTCAAACTTTTCTCCTGGCAAGCCGAGTTCGATGTACGTACGTATCAATCGTAAGTCAGCACGATTACCATCCAAACCGTGTACGCAAACGACCAAGTGCACGTCTATTGCTTCATCTTCATATTCAACATCGGGAACTATGCTAAAATATGGAAGAGTCGACGCCTTCTCTGGCAAATCGCTGTATAGCACAAATGGAGTCGTCCTAATTTTGCGTTTTATATCTTCTTTGGCAAATTCGAAGCTTCTAAATTGTAAAAATATAAATGTACTTCAGTATAAGTAAACTTTGTTTACACTAAAATTGTCTGAGCCAAATTAAAAAAATATATCATATCATATCACATCATTTATTACACCATTTTAAATTTACAAAAACGAACATTTAAAAGATTAAATTAAATTAATTAAATTGATTAATTTTATTTATTTTTTATTTATTTGATATAAAAAAAGCTCACATCAATCCCAGAGGGCAAATCTGTGAGTTTACATAAACATCAAACATTGAACAAAATATCAATTGAATGACTGTATGTATGCATTTGTCTTCAGAAGGGCATTTCTTATAGACTAATATTAGGAACCTACTGAAAAGAATGTGAAAGTAATCTCCACAAGGTACATGATAAATATAAATACAAGACAAATAGACTAGTAATAGTATACGGTCATTAAATACCAATCCCTTAAACTCCTGTTATGTTCAATAAATAAATTCTGTACCGTTAGTAAAATGGGAGAAATGGTAGGCAGTTAACCCGTATCTTGCAGCATCATTGTGCTGACCTACATACGAGCGTGGTAAAGGACAGTAAGTATCGTAGCTGTCAAATAGGTGCTCATCAGTCTACTACAACAGGGACTGAAGCAAGCACGCGCTTAAGGGTAACCTTATGCTCTTTCAAAATGTGAAGTGGGTTGCTCAAATTAGCACTTGGCCTCTTGTAGGTACCGAGTCCACTCCGATTCTTTATATTGCTCTCCAGTACACAAAGCTTTTTAAGAGTTCTACCAGGACTGGAAAAAGTGTGCGACCGGCAGTTGGAGGCATTGACCATTACCCCGGGGGCATTTCAGAAAAAAGTTTTTTTTTTTTACACATCACAATTTAATGCATACCGGTAATAAACTACTAAATGTACTACTGTTTAGCTATAATAGTGTAAAGATAACATATGGTGCTGGAGGCATTTGATGAAGATAATTTTCATAGTCAAAGGCACAAAAATATTTTTTCCTGGCCTGAGTTCTACTTTCGATCCTATCAGTATTTAAACCAAATTTTATCAGATCATCATTAAACATAATGATCTTTGCCCATTTTCATTCATTTTATGTGTGTCTGTTTCTGTATACAGGCAATTTGATTGACTTTAAAGGTTACTTTGCCACACAGGTGTAGAAAACTCAACAGCTGGGCACACTGTACAGTACACAGCATTGTTGTTTTGAGGTTATCCAATTAACAGTTCTTCAGCAGAATAAACATAGAGCTGTGAGTTACATTGTACTTATGATTTTTAGGCATACTTTTGAACCCATATTCTAAGTGACTTCCAAATAATTAACAAGGTCAATTAATTATCATAATATTATTGATCGATATTGGTGTATTTTAGGGGAGGAATTCTTTTACTACAGAACTGCACTGGATTGTATTTCAAAAGATAAACCTTCAGACCATTCATAAAGTTTATTCACATTCGATTGGATCAATGGAATTGTCACACATGGACATTCCTAAAGGATGTGTTATCAATGTACAGTACTATAGTACCGCACAGTGCTTTAACTCCACACTGCACTTATAAGCACATGCACTGTCAATGGTAGTGAGACAGTCACACATGGCATAAACCTTCCACTGAAGCATGTCACAGCACAGGTCAAAGTTTGTTTAATCAGACTTGAAAGAATATGTATTTTACTTCTGCCCTTCTACCAGAGAAAGCTAGAGTAATTATGGTATATATTATTATTATTTTTTTTTTTTTAGAATCTGTATTTATAGCACCTTTCACAATCCAAAAAATATACAAGGCGGTGGTATAATTATTTTTCTGGTCACTGGATATTGAGTTGGCAAACCAGCATGTTTTGTGCATCTTTCTCTGCTCATTGGGTAGTAATCCCAGTCTAGCTGCTTTACACGTACAACCCAAACGTTCAATGCCAATGCCACCCTAACAAGTACCCACTTGAGTGGGGAGAGGAAAATGTAGGTAAAGTGCCTTGCCAAGGACACTAGTATTTAGAAATATTGTTCATTCTCAATGTCAATATGTGAATTAATGTAATAATTAATGTGGGTTGTAAATGGCTTTTTGGAAAGCAGTAAACTCCTTTCATTTTCAATTTAGTAGAATATTTCATTATAGACGATTATCCATCAGAAAAAAAAACTGGAAATAGGAAACTCGTGCATTATATGATTATTTTCTTGATTTATAATATGTAACTTGATAATAGTCTTCTACTGAAAATGATGTTTTTATATGGCAAATTACACCTGCTCTCAACTTCGTTAGTTAAAGTAACTTCGTCTGAGCTTTTTGGCCTTTGTGACATCTACATAATGAAATTGATAATGGACAAAAATTATTTTAATTATGAAGATGGTTTCAATAGAGTTTTATCTGTCAACAACTGTATGTAATACACTTTGTCTATATAGATATTTACCCTTTTGTGACATTTACTTTAATACATAATGAAAATGATATAATGTACAAAAATATATAGTTTATCCGTCAACTACACAACACGATAATACACTATAAATCAAGTCAAATGCAGCACACACACTTCATGCTTAAATTAATTATCTTATTGAGAAGTAATTAAATTCATGTTGTCTACGCACACCTGCGATAATCATATCAAAAATGACACACAAGCAAAATGCCAGATCAGATCTATTCTTGGCTTGATCAACGAGTTCATGTCAGAAAATTCAATAACACATCAATATATTTGAAAGAAACAGAATATGGATACAAGAATGTGTTCTTAAAAAATAATTTAGATGTAATTATATAAGCAAAAACTAATTAAAAATGTGTAGTTAGATCAATCGATCCACCAATCGATCAACTGGACCAATCAATCAATCAATCATTCCACTTATATTATGTTTAATGACTTGTAATTTAAATAATGTGTTTTTTGTTTTTTTTTAATTGTAAATTAAATCCTCAATTCAGATTTCGGCTGCTATGGATTTTTTATTTTGTAAATTTTAGATCTAAATATTTAAATAAAAGATACTGAGATATATAAGGTACCTTTCCATTTATATGGTGTCATTCCAACTGTCATTGCTCGGGGTTCTGTTTCAAAAAGAAGATTATTAAACAAGTTGCGCCTTGAGTAGAGACTTAAAAATGTCAAGTGAAGGTGAATGTTTAATGTTCAGAGGAAGTATAAATGTGTATGTCACAGTAGTTTGTCAGTTGCAATATGTGGCAAAGACAAGCCAAACCAGTCACTCGTCGCAAATTGTGTTTCAGAAAAAATAGCAAAAACATGCTAGAATGTAAAATTTTTAAAAATCTATTTTATTTCACTAAACTGAGGTTTATGTATCTATACATCATACTGTGCTGATATTTTCCCCAATTTCAATGTTAAAACAACACTTTTTAAAGATTTTATGATAGCTTCTGCATGAGAAATGCCTGAAATCATAAACTTTGAAGGCTGATTTCTCATATATTGTTCTTTAAACAGCTGTATGCTTAAATGCTTGTAAATTCATAAGGAAATGTCGGATTTGAATGATTTTTTTACCATTCTATAGCTCTTATTTTACTCTTTAAACCTGTATGAATAACTCAAAATCGATTTTTGCGGCGAGTGACTGGTTTGGCTTGTCTTTGCCGCATATACAGACTGTGGTAAAACCTAGAAACAATGTCCTCAAAAATTAAATTTACAGAAAAAGTGATTTCCGATGTTTAAACACAGTGTACGTTTTTCATACCTTGTTTCACAAACATATTTTTAAAGATTGTCAGAAGGCAGAAAAAAATAAGAATGTGAAATTCGAAATAATATAAAAACAGAATTTTATTAATGAATTAAACAGTGTAGAAATGAGATTGACAAATTTATATAATTATGGAAGAAATACATATCTTATTATTGGAGATTTCAGGGAGTGAAGGTCATAATACAAATAAATACATAATTTTATTCTTTTATAAAATTTCCATTTTTTCATAATGCAGCCAAAAATAACTGGCCAAAAATAAAATTTCAAAATCACCATTATTGGTGGTTGTTGGGTTTGCTAAAGAAGGTATAAGAAAAAGTCTTGCCTAATAAACATTTAACTTAGATTGAGACTACAGTACATAGATTGAAACAAGTCAGTTTTCACTGGGGATTACAAAAATAATTAACATCCAATTTAAAGGCCATCTACAAAGAATTTAGAAGCTATGTTTTGAGAATATCTTTTTCAATTTAAAGCTAAAAACATGTTTGTACAATGTATGTAAATTCAAATATTGAATTTTTAAAAGTTAATTATATATACAGTACTGTACAGTACATCTTTAAGGTGATTTCTTTGTGGTTTGAAATGTGTACTTCCTAGAAATCATATTAATTTTCTTACGTCAGTTATTTCGCGATAAAAGACAATATTTATGATGTGTTACTGTTGGTGTTATCCTTTGTGTACAGAATCAATCATAAACAATGCACACTCCTCAATTCCTTGGTGAGTATTCCTATGTAATTCAAAAAACCAATTTAATTCCAACCTATTCTCATCACACAACCCATATACTCGTCTAGATGGTGAATAACAAAAGTATACAAGCAGGATACATGCTGCGCCCACGGTCATCAGCCAACTTAATTCCGTGAAGAATGCAATGAGACAAGGCGAGCGCAATAGATTGTTTTCAATAACGATCAGTCTGTCACTGATAATCAGCAGACGATGTCGCATTGTCTAGCACCCAGAGAGAGCGGCGACAGATTTGTTGCATGTTACAGAGTGTGCCCGGATTTAAAGCGTTCTGCTCAAGGAAACAAGCAGCAAACTAGTAAAGCTCAAAACATGTTGTTTGAGACTTGAGCTACAGTATCAATCTATGCTCCAATTTTGGTAAATTTGAATATTGAGGTCTCCCTCCAATTAAAGACCACTTTTGGGATTGGGGTTTCCATGGTATATTCAGCTTTGGTCTTTAATTAGAATAATAAAGATAAAAGACATTTGCTAATATGGGACCACAAAAAAGTGGTCTTTAATTGGAGGTGGTCTTAATTGGAGGGATCTTTAATTAGAGGGAGACCTGTAATATGTGATTCGTGTGTAGTTAAGTCCCAACCTTCAAATTCCAGCGTCCTAGTAGAATAAATGCTGATATAATTGCAAAATATTGTTTTGAAAACAAAGCCGCTCATCTAAGCCGTATAATGACACTACAGAGCTGCATTAATCTCTATCCTGTATAATATGATGCTGGGTGTTGTGGAATAACCGCATTCAGTAAGGTTTAGTTTAGGTTTAATACAGTATATAATAATAATAACACGTAAATGCTGTGTAACTGACTATATGTTCTACCGGTTAAATAACCACTGTCTATTTGTAATTAATTTCTCTTCCATACTTACATATCATTCTGGCGCCGGTCCTCCATTATCAGCGACAACCTTGCATCTGGATGTAACTTCCTTGATTCTCCAACTGCCACTGCTGTGGACTGGCTGACAACCGCTTCCCCATGGTGTCTTTCTTTTACTATACAAGGCTGTGCATGATTATTAACCTCCGGGGAACTAATAAACGGAAAGCAAGATGAACAAGAAGTGTCACCGGATGATAATTCCTGCGTGACAAAGTTCCGTTTACCCGTACATGAGCTAATTTTCTGCTCCTCCTCATCCAGATTGTTCGAGTCTAAATTCTGGGCGTTCAAGGTGATTGGCATTTCCTGAGTGTCATTCTTTGGTAAAGTGAGGTCACAGTTCAAAGTGCTGTCATGGTTACTGGGGCAGTCATCACTGACCAATGACAGGAAGACATCACTTACATGGATCCCATCATCGCTGGGAGTGATCGTCTGCGAGGGAGAGATCAGGCAAGCTTGCGAATCGAAGCGATCTTGCGAAAAACTCAACCGTTCAAGACCGTCTAAACTAACTGCATGTTTCATTTTATTTTTGCTCTTTGACCCAAATCCTGATTTCAACCTGAGTCTCCCTCCAGAAAGTTGTCGCAATACACTTTTCTTTTTTTCTTTAGGTCTATCATTGCAGTTTGCCTGTGCAGGCTCACACCTACATATACTATTTCTTTTAATCTGAGTATTCATGTTGCAAGGCCCTGTTTCCACATTCTCATCTACCTTATCCATGTTGCGGGGCACATTGTCCAATAGTAAACTAGGTAGCGACACAGACGTTGACATGGAAGATTCATTAGGATTGGAGTGGTCATGTGAGATATTCTCTTGATACTCATTGGCTACTTCCCCTCCACGACATGACTGGAGTAGAATGGTTTTTCTTAGGCTTCCTATCACACTCCTAGACTTGTCTTTGGACGGTTTCTGAGTGTCGGATTGGTGGTCATCAATAGGCTCTTTTTTTACCTCTGGTGACGAATCAGGGTCATTCAAATTTACATTTACATCCACAGCAGAAATCACATGACCTTTTCCAAAAAGAAAAGAAAAAATATTTAAAAATCACGTTAAAAATAAATATTGATCAATATCAATGAAATAAATAATCTTAAATCAATAAAATCAATCAATAATTAAAAGTAAGGAGAACCTAAAGCTCTATCCATATCATCAAACTTTCACTGACAAAAAATGTTTGTATGCCCATATATAGTCATGATGTGCCTATATATGGTCATGATGTGCCTATATATGGTCATGATGTGCCTATATATGGTCATGATGCGATGTCATCATGACCATATTTAGGTATGTCACATGTTTTTTGTCAAACACAATTTGACATTCTGCATTTGGCTTAACATGCTGGATGCAAGCGACGAGTATACTCGCCCACAGGGTGTTGCTGAGGGCGCCAGGGACGAGTATACTTAACAAAATTGGGATAACATTCTAGCGTTTATAACTTCTTTGTTATACATTTCATACATTGTAGAACCAAAGATAAAGGAGAACATAAAGGTAAGGTTGACACTGTTAAAAGGTCAAACATTATTGCGGTTTTAATCAATTACACCAGTGCCACAGAAACAGTTCAGATTCAATTCATTCGTCCAATATGAAAATAGCAGTGAGTACATTTTCAAGTCATTAAAATTTTATTTAAAAAAACATATAGATAAAATATATATTAAAATGGCGAGTGAAATACTTAAAACGAATCAACTCTAGACACAATAACAAGATACAATAAAAGCATTATTATAATACATCAAAACAAATAATATATAAAATATTAAAATGTTGATAAAGATTCCAGTTACAATTTTAACATCACTAAATGAATAAAACATTTTAGTTTAAATTTAAAATTACTATATTTCAGACCCATAATTTTAGATTATAAGATTCTCAAGCAATCTACTACCAAAACAGACTTACTTCTTCCAACAGTCGAACCCTATTACAATCTTTAATAATTACTCAAGGTATTAAGTTTTGAGGTATTACAGAAATTTTATGGGACAATAAAAGTGAAAGTTTTCAATAGAAAAAAATCAGTGCTGCAGAAGCACGCCAATGACAAGACTCATAATTTTACATTGTAAGATTCTCTCGCGCAGTAACCTACCAAAACAGCCTTGAAAAAACTTACCTCTTCCAAAAGCTACAGACTCTAAGTACTTTTCCTCAAATACGATTGGCTGGTTCTCATATCTGCCGTCGGTTTCCTCACACTCGATTGGTAGCGGTGGTAACTTACAGTAATACTCAGAACATCTGACCACTGCCATGGTGTTCTGATGTCCAGGTTCTTCCAGGGACAGTGCCATTTGTTTTGGCCGGGAAGTGGTGAAGAAGAACTCGGAAAACCTTTGTATCTGAAGAAAAAATTAACCCAACGTACTGTACAGTCAATTCAAAATCTCATAAAATTCTTTTTAAAAAAATCTCCAGTTATTTGGTTCTTTGGTTCAGCATTGGGAGCAGCATTATGACTTAGTTAAGTTGCGGAAGATGAGTTATTTTCCGGGAGGTGCTTGCTTGGTTGCGGAAGTGCGGGAGGCCATCCAGTTCTCCAAGTCTCCCGCTGGTCATGGGACTTGTAGTATGTCTATACTTTTTTTTTCCAAGTTAATTTTCTATGTTAAATTCTAAATGCTGCTTAACCAATTAATCACCTTATAATATACAATATCCAAAACTCACCCTCATCTGGTGGTACTTGTCTCGGAGATGTTCTACAATGCGTTGGTTGCTGACCATTATCTCTTGGTATTGGGTCCAAGTCAAGGTCACTTCACCGGACAACTGGCCAAAACTTGAGCAAACAGCTTCCACAATGTCCTCCTTACCTTCAAGACTCTTTCAAATATACAATATATTACATATATAATGTTATTATTATTATTAAAAAGCACTTATATAGCGCCTTTACAAAAAAAGATCAAAGCGTTACGTTCATGTAACAATGTCAGGCTACCTGCGTGATTAGGTGGTGGAAGAAGCTCATCCTAATTGGAATTAAACTAAAGCCACCGCTTAAGAATTCGGAGAATGTACTCAAGAGAAATTGTTGATTTTAATCATTAAATTGGAAATTGCAAGTGAAGTGCTGCGAAGTACAACTGCATAAAATGTTCTTGAACAAAATTATTTATGCGAGTCAAGTGAAAATAATGAATAAAAAAAAGTATAACAAATAATATGAGCACGACCCATTGTCTATATATTATTAGAACAGCGTTGGTACAATAGTGTTTTGCTGCAGTGACATCTCTCTGCTGGCGATGGCTCGCTGCTGCTGGCGATGACTCGCTG